CAGTGGCTTCTCTCTTGCCGTTTGGGTCAGGCGGGGGCACTCCCAGGGTTCAGCCAGGGGAGGGGACAGCACTCTGGGGCTGGGGAAGGAACCAGGCCCAGGTTGGGGAGGAGAGAAAACAGCATCCTGCACCCCTGCACCTAGGCAGAGGCAGGGGCACCGCAGTCAGGGCGGGGTGGAGCCTGGCTGGGAACCAGGGATAGCGACATGGGGAGGACAGTGGAGTGGACAGGACAGGGGGGGTAAGGACTGGGACAGAGATGGGGGCACTGGGATTGGGACTGGCAGGCACAGGTCTGGGGCCCAGGGATGGGGATTCCATAAGGACAGGCATGGGGACAGGCGTGAGAAGGAGATTAGAAATGGTGGACAGGCATTGGGCAGAGACAGGGACGAGGACGGTGAGGACCAGAGGGGGGAAGACGGGCTGCACAATGGGGTGGGAACCACAGGGATGGTGGCCCAGGGATGGGCGCTGGGGACAGGTGGGAATGAGGATGCAACAGAGACCGGATTTGGGGATGGGGACAGGATGGGGCAGAACAGAAGGGGGGGATGGGGCAGGCTGTTGGGCAGAAACGGGGCCTGACGCAGAGACCCAGGAGACGAGGATGGGAGACATGGATGGGGTGTGAAGTGGGGACCAGGGGACAGGGAACGAGGCGGGAGACATGGACAGAGGCGGGGGCAGAGGGCAGGTGTGGGAGGCAAGGTGGAGGATGCCAGGCAGGACCAGGCCGTGGGAGGGGGCCGGCCAGGTGGAAGCGGAGACACCTCGTTCCAGACCCCACGACAGCGTGGGGGCAGGGACGCCGGCGGGGTGGGCTCTGCCCTTGGGCCGGGCGCCACCTCCCCCTCAGCCCCGCCTGCCCGCCTTCTCGAGGCCTGCCGCGCAAGGCTCACCGTTATCTGAATTTTGATTTTATTTTATTTTATTTTATTTCCCTGCTTCCTAGAGCCGGCGCGGTCCCCGCGGGAACGGCTGCCCCCCGCCCCCCGCCCCGCGCCTCACTTTATTATTGCAATAAATGTGCCTATAAAGGCGCCGGCTCCGGGGCGCGGTGGGGGGGGAGCCGCGGAGCGGGGA